AAAGTTAGCAGAAGAAAGAAAATAATAAATACCAGAGTGGAAATAAATAAATAAAGACTAGAAAGAGAAAAAAACAAAACTAAGAGCTGTGTTTTTTGAAAGAATACACAAAACTGACAAACCTTTAGCTAGACTAACCAAGAAAAAAGGGAGAGGACTCAAATAAACTCATAAACAACAAAATGAAGAAGCAACCTATGTAATGGGAAAAATGTTTGCAAGCCATCTATCACATAAGAGGTTAATATGAAAATATCTAGGAAACATACAACTCTGTAAGGAAAAAATAGGCAGAGGATCTGAGTGAACATTTTTATAAGAAAACACACAAATGGCCAGTGATACATAAAAAGAAGCTCAACATCACTGAGCAACAGAAAAATGCAAATCTATACCTCATATCTGGTATAATGGCTGTCATTAAAAGGACAAGAAAAAACAAATGTTGCTGAGGATGTGGAGAAAAGGGAACCTTCGTATTGTTTGTAGGATTGCAAATTGGGATAGCAAGTATGGGAAACAGTATAGAAGTTCCTCAAAAGATGAAATTGAGAGCTACCATATGATCCAGCAATTCCACTTCTGGGCATGAATTCTAGAAAATGAAACCACTCTCTTAAAGAGAAACATGCACCCCCATATCTACTGCAGCATTATTTACAATGGCCAAGATATGAAAACAACTAAAGTGTCCACTGATGAACTAATGGATACAGAAAATGTGATACACACACACACACACACAGTGGAATCTTACTCAGCCATAAAAAAGAAAGATATTGTGCCATTTGTGACAACATGGATGGACATTGAAGGCATTATCCTGAGTGAAATGTCAGATAGAGAAATACAGATATTATATTGCCTCACAAGTGTTGAATCTACAAAAAACAAATAAACACGCAAAAATACCAAAATGACAGATACAGAGTACAGATGGGTGGTTGCCAGAATTAAGTTTGAGAGGTGGGCCAAATCAGTAAAGGTCGTCAAAAGGTGCAAACTTCCAGTTATAAAATAAATAAGACCTGGGGATGTAATGCACAGCATACTAATTATAGTTAATAATACTGCATTGTATATTTGAAAGTTGCTAAGATAGTAGACAACAAAGAAAAAAATTTGTAACTATGTGTGGTGATGTCTGTTAACTAGACTTATTGTGGTGATCACAGTATCCACAAATATCAAATCATTATGTGGCATACCTGAAATGAACATATTATATGTCAATTATACCTCAAAAAAACAAAAATGATCCAACAATATGTTGTCTATAATATACTTACTTCATATACAATGACATAAGTTTAATGTAAATGAATTAAAGTAGATATACCATGCAAACATTAATTTTTAAAAAAGAAGGAGTGGCTAGATTAATATCAAATAAAGTTGATTTCAGAGCAAAGAAAATAACTAGAGACAAATAAAGACATTGTATGTCTATAATGATGATAGAGGGATCAATCCACTATGAAGACATAACAATTCTACTTATGTTCACAACAAACAACAGAACCCAAAAAAACTGAAAGCAAAAACTAATAGAGCCAGAAAGAAAAATAAATATATACAGAAACAGATTTGGAGAACCAAATTTACTCCACTCTCAGGATTTGATAGAATTAACAGACAGAAAATTAGCAAAGATATAGAACTGACCAACATAATCAACCAACAATCTAGTAAAAGAATATAGAACATTCTACTCAATATGAAATGAATGGATGTTTTTCCAGAGTCCACAGAGTATTCACCAAGACAGACCATATCCTAGGCCACAAAACAAACCTTAACAAATTTTAAAAAACTGAAACTATACAAGAGTGTTTTCAGACCACAATAAAATCAAACTGGAAATCAATAACAAAAGACAACAAGAAAATGTCCAAACACCAATTAAAGCACTTCTAAGAAATTCATGGTTCAAAAAAGAAGTCTTGAAGACAATTTTAAACCTACATGTAACTGAGTGGAAACGAAAACACACATATTAAAATTTGTAGTATATACTGAAGCAGTGCTGAGAGGAGAATTAATAACACTAAGTGCATACCTTTGAAAGAGAAAGGATATCAAATCAATAATCTAAGTTCCTACCTCAAGAAACTAGAAAAAAGAGCAAAATAAGCATAGAGACAAGCAAAGTAAGAAAATAAAGTCACCCTGAAACTAATACAATGCTGTATGTTAATATAACTCAATTTTTTAAAAAAGATAAGCCAGAAAAATACTGAAAACAAGAAAATAGAGAAAATCAATTACAGAAATGCTGGCTCCTCAAAAACAAATCAATAAAATTTATAAATCACTAGTAAGAATAACTACAAACCACCAAAATTCAAGTAACTCAAGACAGAAAACCAAAATAGCCTTATAACTATTAAATAAGTTGACTTTGTAATATAAAATCTCTCCCAAAATAATCACCAGGCCCAGGAACTTTAACTACAGAACTCTACCAAACACTTAAAGAATAACACCAATTTTATTTTGGAAAACAGAAAAGGAGGTAATGCTTCTCAATTCACTTTCTGAGGCTGGTATTACCCCAATATCAAAATTAGATGAAGGCAATACCAATAAAAAGTTAACTCAAAATGAAACCTGTATTCAAATATAAAACATAAAACTATAAAATTTTAAGAAAAAAATTAAATAATGAACATCCATGGTTAGTAAAAGAGCTTTAAGAGGTGATACCAAAAGCACATCTATACAGGAAAAACTGAAAAACTGGTCTCAGAAAGATCCTGTTATAAGGAACAGGGGAGGGAATTTCAGGGGAAAAGGAAAAGGGTTTACAGGAACAAGTATAAAAGACACATGGACAAAGACTGGGGGGAGTGGAAATGGGAGGGAGGTAGAAGGGCTGGGATGGGAGTAAAAGACAGAAAACTATTGAACAACAATTAAAATAAAAATTTTAAAAAAGGGTGAAAAGACAATTTAAGGATTGGAAAAAAATAACCACAAACCAGATAACTGACAAAGGACTAGTATCTAGAATAGAGGGTAGAGCAAAAGTAGGTTTGCAGTTGTTCATATGAAAAGAATATAATAATAATAATAAATAATAATACAAGAATAAAATGTGTTTCACTTGCTCACAACTGTAAACCTACTTTCCCCCACCCTATATATTGGATTGGTCAAAAAGTTCATGTGTTTTTTTCCATTAAATAAAAGATGCATTTTTTTCATTTTCATCAGTAACTTTATTGATTTGGATATTTTGAGCATGTCAGCTATCTCCTGCATGGTAGAGTGTTGATTTTTCTCAATGTCTCAATTTGATTGCTATCAACTTCAACTGGTCTACGCAACCGTGAAGCATAATACAGCAAAAAAATCTTCAGCATGAAACTTCACAAGCCACTTTTGACATGTTGGATCAGTCACAGCATCTTCTCCATACACTGCACAAATCCTTTTTGTGTGTTTCAGTTGCATTTTTACCTTTCTAAAAATAATAAAACATAATATGCCAAAAATGTTCCTTATTTTCTTCCATCTTCAAAATTTAAATGGCTACACAAAAATTCACCAGTTCTGATAAGTTTTGTTTAAATGCATGCTAATATGACAGTTGTCACAATACAATCTAACAAAATTGTTTGGATGAAGTTAAAGACAACTTAGCACTACCAGAGCCATCTTATGAAAAAAAAAACAAATGAACAATTCAGCCAACCCAATATTAGAATAGCATAATAAAATATCGCTATAAAATTATCAGTTTGATTAAAATAAAAAATAATAACAAAAATGTAGCGAATGATGTAGGGATATAGGATCACTCAAACACTGATGGTGGGAATGTAAAATGTTGCAACCACTCCGGAAAATAGTTTGGCATCATCTCATAAAACTAAATATGCTGTTACCATACAACCCCCAACTGACCTTCTGGGCATTTATAACAAAGAAAATGAAAACTTACGTTCACACAAAAACAGGCACACAAATGCTCATAGCTGCTTTAATCATAATAGCCAAGAAACTGGAAAGCAGATGTCCTTCAAGAAGTGAATGGTTAAACAAACTGTGATATATCCATACCCTGGAATATTACTCAACAATAAAAATATGAAATATTGATATATACAACAATTTGGATGAGTCTTCAGATAATTATACTGAGTGAACAAAGCCAATCCCAAATGTTACATATAGTATGATTCCATTGTAAGAGTGGTAAAATTATTAAAATAAACAACAAATTAGTGATTGTCAGGAGTTATGTGTGGGGATGGGAGAAACAGAGGGATAGGGTATAACGATAAAAAGCAACATGAGGAATCATTGTGATGACAGAAATGTTCTGTACCTTGAGTGTATCAATATCAATAACCTTGTGAAACCTTATAGTTTTATAAGATGTTGTAAATTGGGCAAAGAGTACATAGGATTTCTCTGTTTTAGTTCTTACAGCTACAATTATATCTGTAACTATCTCAAAATGAAAAGTTTAATTTAAAAAAATGGGATGACACTAAAGCAAAATTTGGGAAGAATTTTATAGTACTACAAGCATATTAAAGAAAAGAAGAAAGATAAATCAATTATCTCAGTTTCCATCTTAAGAAACCAGAAAAAGGTAAAATTAAACCCAAAATTGTGCAAAATAAGGAAATAAAAAAAGATCAAAGTGAAATCAACAAAACAGAATATAGCAAAATAGTACAGGAAAGCGATGAGACCAAAAGTTGGTTCTTTTGAAAACCAATACAGCTGATAAGCTTCTAGCCACATTGATCAGGATAAAAGAGAATACACAGATTACCAGTATTAGGAATTAAAGAAAGGAAAGCAATACTTATCTCACAGACATTACAAATATGCCAATAAATTTGACAATGAGGGTTTTCACAATCATTACTCGCATCTAAAGAAACAATAAACTTTATTTGGTCACTAATATATTCACTCACCTGAGTATTTGAAAATGTAATTGCTACTAATATAGCAAATAATGAATTAAAAATTAAGGATACATTCTTATAGCACCTGTTCTTGTTCCAATAGCCAAGATTTTCTGAACTGGATCAAAGGCTAATGCTGTGGGTTGATAAGGAAAACCATGCCGTACTGTCTGAAAGAGAGCAAATGGTAAAATAGTTATCAGGAAAGTTAAAATTAAAATCACAAAATACCACTATCCAACCACTAGAATGACTAAAATAATTTTTTATTTGTTTAAAAAGGAAAAAAAACTACCAAATGTTGGTAGGAGTATAAAATAACACAGTCACTTTGGAAAAATGTCTTGCAGCTTCTTGTAAAACTAAATAAATGCTTGACCTATGACCTAGAAATTCCACTCATGTGTGTATGTACCCAAGAAAATAAAGACCATATGTCCAACATAATAATTTGTATACATATAGCCCTAACAACATTATACACAGCAGCCCACATATCCAATAAGAAAATAAAAAAAGAACAGTGATATATGTATACAATGAAAAACTACTAAACAACCAAAAACTACTGACAGATGCAACAACAGGGACGACTCTCAAAAACATTATGCTAAGTAAAAGAAGCAATATGCAAAAGAGTGTATAATTACATTTGTATTAAATTCTGAACAAACAAAATTAAAAATGATGAAAAAGATCAGATCAGTGGTGGACCTGAGCAGAACTGAATGGAAAGGGGTTTGAAGAAACTTTATTGAGTGAAGGTAATATTCTGTATCTGGGTAGGGGTTTGGATTACACAAATGTATACATTAGTCAAAGTTCATCCAATGGTTCAATAAAATTTGTGATTTCTCTATGAAATTATATTGCAAAAAACATAAAAAAACACTATAAACAAATATTGAACTCTCAGTTCATGATACACATATTGAACTTTTAAGAGGTAAAGTGTACTGACATCTGCAACTTATTTTAAAAATGCATAAAAAAAGTTATATGAATAGATGGATGGATAGGTGGGAACTGGAGAGCATTATGCTAAGTGAAATAAGCCAGGCAGTGAATGACAAGTACCATATGATCTCACCTATAAGTAGAACCTAATCAACAAAACAAACAAGCAAGGAGGACTTTAATTCAATATAAAATATGCTCTAACTTTTCAAATAGAGGACCACATAGGTAAAAATAAAAAATAGATTGTATATATTTTTCAACCAGATATTTAATGATCCAAGAACTATTTTAATGGAAATACTTTCATAAAAAATTATATTTGTAAATTACAATGTAAATAGATAAAAAGAAAGATCAACTACAGCATGTAGTTCATCTAAAACTCTTATTTCCCAGAGAAAACACTATAAGGAGTTCATTGCATAACTTCCTCATTTTCTTTTGAAGTATGTAAGAGCCCATATGCATATGCATATTATATAGTATATAGCCAGATCTATAATCATTTTTTCCACTCAACAGTATAACATGGAAACAGTTTCACAAAAAAGTGTGTAAATATACTCCAAATGATTTGAAGTTGCAGAGCTTATTAGTATGAAAGCACCATGACATCTTAACCAACCAATTACTGTTCTATAATCTCTAAAGAGTTGTCAACTAAACTGATGAAACAAACAAACAACAAAAGACAGAACCCATTTTCTAGTCATGTTTCCCACTTGATTCCAAACCATCTTCCTTATTTAGGCTTATAAACATAACATTGTCAAGAGAAGCCTTAATCTTCCAGCAGAGCAATGTGGATAACAAAATCAGAATATAAATCCTCTCCAAAAAAACAAGAGATGGGAATACTCCCCAACTCATTCTACGAAGCTAGTATTACTCTGATACTAGAAACTGACAAAGACATCCATAAAAACAGAAAACTAAAGACCACTAATTCTTATTAATAGAGATACAAAAATCTTCAATGAAATACTTGCAAACTGATCCCAGCAACAAATAAAAGGACACATGACACGTCTTGCTGGGATTTATCTCGGAAATGCAAGGCAGGTTTAAGATTTAAGAAGTTTCTTAATATTATGTACTATATCAAAAGAATATAGGGCAAAAATCACATGACTTATTTCAGTAGATGCAGAATTTCAGAAAATCCAACACCCATTTATGTTAAAAAGCACTGGAAAGTGAAATTGTATAGAACTTCCTCAATCTGATAAATGACATTAATGAAAAATCTACACCTAACATCATACTAATTAGCCAAAAAAATAATTCTTTCCTTCTAAGATCAGGAATGAGACAAGTAAGCTCTTACTACAGCAGGACAATTAGATGAAAAATAAATAAATGAAAGACACCCAGATTAGAAAGGATAAAACAGCTGTACTTTACAGACTGCTGCTATCTGCTATGAATGTAATCTTTAGTCTCTAAGGAATCTATAATCCTGATTAGTTGTTTTGCTTAATAATGTGTTCCCAAGTAATAATACTTAAATTGACATACCATTTTCAGAAAAATGTAAGTACATATGTGCTTCCTTTATTCCTAAAGCCAGAAGATTATTAGTACTTTTCTTTCTCTCTCAGATGAAAGAAAGAAAACAAAATTTAAAGGTGTGTCTCTCTGTTGGATTTAGGTATAATTTGACTATCTAACCTCATTTAATTTCACACAAAGATAGTTTTCTATCAGGATATGTATTGCCATTCATTAAGTTAACAAAGTAAAAGATAAAACCTCCTGACTGTACCAAAAGGATCTGGAAAGTAATTTGATAAAATTCAGGAGTCAGTCCAAGAAAACATTTTATATAGAAAGGAAAACCCACTCTAGATCAAATGAACTTAACTGATAATATACAGAACCTTTCAACCCAAAGAAGCAACACATACATTCTTTTCAAACACACGTGGAACATTTTCAAACTTAGATCACATGGCAGGACACAAAACAAGCCTCAAATATTTCAAGAAAACTGAAATCCTATCAAGCATCTTCTTGGATCACAATGGCTTGAAACTAGAAACCAACCTCAAGGAAAAAAACTCAAACACATTAAACTACATGGAGACTGAATATCAGGTTATTAAATCATGAATGGGTTAATAATGAGAGCAAGGAAGAAATAAAAAATATCTGGAAACAAATGAAAATGAACACCCAACAATCCAAAACCTATGAGACACAGCAAAGGCAGTACTGAGAGGAGAGTTCATAGCTATGCAGGCCTACCTAAAGAAGATAGAAAAATCTCAAATAAACAACCTAACCCTAAATCTAGAACAACTAGGGGAACAACAACAAACAAAGCCCAGAGCAAGTAGGAGGAAGGAAATAATCAAGACCAGAGCAGAATTAAATAACAATTAAACTAAAAACATTTCAAAAGAAGAGCCCTGGCTGATGTGGCTCAGTGGATTGAGCACCAGACTGTGAAACAAAGAATTGATGCTTCAATTCCCAATCAGGGCATATGCCTGGGTTGTGGGCCAGGTCCCCAGTAGGGGGCACATGGGAGACAACTACACATTGATACTTCTCTCTCTTTCTCTCTTCCTTCACCTCTATCTAAAAATAAATAAAATCTTTAAAAAAATTTAATGAATCCAGGAGCTGGTTCTATAAAAAGATAAACAAAATTGATAACCCTTTAACAACACTCATCAAGACAAAGAGATCACCCAAATACACAAAATTAGAAACAAAAGAAATTAAAACCGATACCACAGAAATACAAAGTATTTTAAGAAATTACTAAGAACAACTATATAGCAAGAAATTGGACAATGAGGTGAAATGGCCAAATTTCTAAGAACATACAATCTTCCAAAACTGAATCAAGAAGCAGAAAGCCTGAGTAGACTAATAACTACTGGTGAACTTGACACAGTAATAGAAAAACTCCTAGCACACAAAAGCCCTGGACAGGATGGCTTCACAGGCGAATTTTAGCAAACATTTAAAGAAGAACTAACTCCTACCCTTCTCAAACTATTCCAAAAAACTCAAGAAGAGGGAAGACTCCCAAACTAGGCCAGTGTTATCCTAGTTCCAAAACCAGGTAAAGACACAACTAAGAAAGAAAACTACAGGCCAATATATCTGATGAACAGAGATGGTAAAATCTTCAACAAAATATTGGCAATCCAGATCCAGCAATGCATTAAAAAGATCATACACCATGATCAATTGAGATTCATTCCAGGAATGCAAGGATGGTAAAACATTCACAAATCAATAAAAGCAATACACCACACAAACAAAACAAAAGCAAAAATCACATGATCATATCAACAGATGCTGAATGAGCATTTGATAAAATCCAGCTCCCATCTATAATAAACACTAAGCAAAGTGGGAATACAGGTAACATACCTCAACATAATAAAAGACATATACAAGAAACTTACATCCAAAACCATCCTCAGTGGACAAAAACTAAAACCTTTCCCCTTAAGATCAGAAACGAGACAAGGGTGTTCGCTTTCACCACTCCTTTTTCCCTTTTTTAAAAAAAAATTTTGTTAAAGTACAGTTGTCTCCATTTTCCCCACATCACTCCCCCCCCCATCCTAACCATCCCCACCTTCCACCCTCAATGCTACCCTCTTTGGTTTTGTCCACATGTCCTTTATACATGTTCCTTGACAACCCTTACCCCTTTCCCCCCAATTATCCCTTCCCACCACCCTCTGGTTACTGTCAGTTTGTTCTTAATTTCAATGCTTCTGATTACATTTTGCTTGCTTGTTTGTTTTGTTGATTAGGTTCCATTTATAGGTGAGATCATACGGTATTTGTCTTTCACCACCTGGCTTATTTCACTTAGCATAATGTTCTCCAGATCAATACAAGCTGTCACAAAGGGTAGGAGCTCCTTCTCTTCTTTCTGCTGCAGAGTATTCCATTGTGTAAATGTACCACTCTTATTCAACATCTTACTGGATAGTTCTAGCCACAGGGATTAGACAAAAAAAAAAGAAATAAAAGACATCTAAATTGAAAAGGATGAAATAAAACTGTCATTATTCACAGACAACATGACAGTGTACATAGAAAATGATATAGTCTCCACCAGAAAATTACTTAACCTAATAAGTGAATTCAGAAAAGTAGAGATATACAATGTCAATATTCAGAAATTGATGGCATTTCTACACACCAATAACGAACTATCAGAAAAAGAAGCTAAGGA